ATATTAAAATCTTCAGTAACTTAAGAGTAAAATCTAGATTCCATACCATCACCAGGGCTCATATCTGTAATCCTAGTTATTCAGGAGGCTGAGATATTAGGATCTTGGTTCAATGCCATCCTGTGTAGGAAAATCTGTGAGACCCTTAATTTTACGTAACCAGAAAAAGACCAAACTTGGAGCTGTGGCTCAAAGGGCAGAGCACTAGCCTTGAGCAAAAAAGATACAGGAGAGTACTCAGGCCCTAAATTCTAGCCCCAGTGTGGGGAGGGGCTAGCCTCATTAAGAAAGTTCGTTAACAATCTATCCCTTTCCTTGTCTTATCACATTCTCAGCTTTTACCTATGTGCATCATAACCTCTTGGCAGCTTTCAGTTATGTTGTTCTGAATATGTTCTTTCATAGTTCTGTACCTTTACCAGATCTATTTGTCCTTTTTACGACTCTACTTTTACCCCTTCTTTCTCTAACTAATGTGTTTTTGTTCTTCAAGACTGAATTCAAAAGTCTGATATTCTGAGAACTCACAGATATACACCTGACTGAAGGAAAACTAAGGAGTTAGGTTGATACTTTACCCCTGTGTATAGTTGCATAGTATGCTGTGTATAGGCATTCTTACTGCAATGTATTAGAAGTGCATCTCAAACTTTCCCATAGAAGCACCCATTGGGAGAAGAAATTGTACTGTATTCATAGCCTTCCTGAAAGCCTAAATTGATGTAATATCTACCCTCTTAGCCTTCAAAATAAGGGGAATTTGACTCCATAGAATGTGTATATTTCATCTAATGTAAAAACTATTTATTGCTGATCCTGGGGCTTGAACTCAGGGCCTGGGCACTGTCCCTGAGCCTCTTTGTGCTCAGTGCTAGTGCTCTACCACTTGAGCCACAGCTCCACATCTGGCTTTTTCTGAATAGTTTATTGGACATAAGAATCTCATGGACTTTTTGGCCTGGACTGGCTTCGAACCATGATCCTCAGATCTCAGCCTCCTGAGGAGCTAGGATTATAGGCGTGACTACTGGTACCTGGCATAAAAACAATCTATGTCATATGAAATAAATCATAAAATTAATATATACAAAAAAGAATAATTAGTTGCCTTGGAATAAAATTATCTTTGTCCAAGATTACAAAGTTTATCCTGAATTTTAAATGTTCACTGTGTATTGCCCCATTCTGTTCTCCTGAATTCCTTATTAGCCAAATTGGATAGATAGCAAGCATTTTGATGGCAAAACTTAATATTTATTACCTCTAGAGCTAGCATGTTAATGTTTGATCTACTGAAAAGAAAACTGAATGAAAGGTCGGTATTAATAGATGGTAAATGTTAGAACTATGAAAATTGTAAACAATCTTTTTTTTTTCCTTAGAAAAAGATATGGGTAATGATGTGTAAATTGTGTGTTTTTTTTATATAGAGACTGGCAATAGCACACAGGGCATTATACATGTTAGGCAATTACTCATTGAGTTATATACCCTCAGATGGAAATTTATGTTTCCTAAAATCACTTTCTAGGTTATAAAGTATAATACTTTTTAAAACTTTTTGTAGTTAAATGTCCAAAGTACAGAGAAATGATTACACGTTGTAAGTGTCAGGCTCAGTATATTTTTACACACTACACACTCAAATAACCAACATCCAAATCTACGCCAAAGTGGCATAAGACTTTACCTTCTTCTTATCACATCACAGCCCTTTGTACACTGTGATACCATTTTATACTCGAATTTCAGGACAAATAACAAACTGAGAAGAAAAGAGCACTTGCTTAGCAAGTATTGGGACCTGATTTCAAACCTTGTACCATAAGAAAAGAAAAAAAAGGAAAAAAATTATCTTAGTCTATAACAAATCAAGTGAATAATCTAATATTTATAATATTCATTTTCATAACCTATACTTTTCACTAGTAATTTAAGTACTAGTCATAGTCTACATTTAATTTTTAATTTAATTAACATGAGAAGTTCACTTTTGTTTTTAACTTCTTACGAGCAGTAGTCAAATTACCCTACTTTTTGTTTGGCTTATTTGACTCTCAACGGGAAGAGGCTTGCCTTTTCTTCATGGATATTTGGTGATATCCAACTTAGTTATGCCTTTCCTGGAGGATGTTACTGACATCTAGTGGATAAAAAATGTAACTAATTGACACCATGAATAAGAATTATCTAGATTAAAATGTCCTTAGTTCCAGGGTTGACAGAAATATTTTCTGAAAATGGATACTTGTTTATATTTGTTACAAGTAAGTCTAAATAAGTTATAGCATCGCATTAATGATATTTAAGGTGGCAGAAGTTTTATTCTAATAGACACTAACCTAGCTCATGTATGTTGGTCCCTAATTGGAAGTCTTGAACATTTTTGCTACCAATTCCAAGAACAAAATCAGACAATGTACAGTAGATAGCTTAGTTAGTAAAAGTCCATCACCACTTCTGGGAAAATATTATGATGTTTTACTTAATCTAGTTCTTCCTCTGGGACTAGTTCTCAGTAGGATGGAATCAGGTTGTAATCTCTGAATAATAGCCTTGCTTACTTTCGTTACTGCTTCCTGAATTTATGGTCTTCAAACTTGAAGCAGCAAATGTTAGATACAGGTAGTTTAACTTCAGTCAAAGTCTCCTGCCATTTACTTTTCAGTTTTAGGGAGATTCCAATCTCTATAAACATTCCTCTACAATCTCAAGAAAAAAAATGCCTAAGCCACATACACTGGGAAATTCCTGGACTGTATAGTGAGACACTATCTGAAAAGTAATTGTTTAATAAAGTAATTAAGTAAAATATTGCCTAAAAATGACAATACTACAAATTAAGATTTGTATAGTTACAGCTGTCTCTAAGCTTAATTACTAGTTTAGAATGTGATTAGTTTAGAAATTATTCTTTTAACTGCTCATCCAGCTGTGACAGGTATATAAATGAAAAAAATTACTTGGTATGAATTTCATAAAATAGTCTCAGTTTTGTAGTAAGTTGCTTATTTGTAATATGGAAGCATATTTTTATTAGTATCTTGGTCTTCTAAGAAGAGGTTAGATCTAGACCTTTTGTAGTTTCTAACAGAAATTTGTTATATTTGATGTTTGGCATAATGGAAAGAACAACAGCTTTCATATCAAATTCAAGTCCAAATGCTCTTGAACAGTTGAAAGTTAGAATACTTAACTCTCACTAACGTGCCTAAAAGAAGGATAATTCAGTGGCAATAAGTATAGCTAGATGTGGTGGTAGATACTTGTAATCCTAGCACTGAAGGGGGATAAGGCAGGACTACAAAGCAACACCCTGTCTCAAAAAGGAAAAATAGAAGACAAAAATAAGGTAACTACGTAAAAAAAAATGGCCAGGAGAAGGAAAGGATAAACAAAACTGAAGAGTCTTTAATTCATTTGTAAGTAGATTATAGTGGTCAGGCACAGAGTTTGGAGTTGGGCGTGCGGGATCTGGTCTGTGGCTGTCATTGATCATTGGCTGTATCGTGGGTCCGCTACAATAATCTGATAGGCATAGGATAGAATGTGACTTGTCCAAAGTCACAGGAGTTGATGCAGAGCAGTTAAGACTTTCTTCTCATTATTTTTCTTCCCTGTAAAATGATTATACTGTTGACTGTTGCATCGCTTCTTATAAGAAGCCATTAAGGTAGCAATAAGAAGGGCCCAGCCTTTGTTGAGTTCTATCAGATTAAATGTAATAGTTCTTTTCCTCAAATATTGTATCTCTGTGGTTGGGAATGCTACATGCTATCCTGAATCTTAAAAACTTGGGAGTAGCTGGGCACCAATGACTCACAATAATTCTAACTGCTAAGGAGACTGAGATTTGAAGATCAAGGTTTGGAGTCAGCTAGAACAGACAAATCTGTGAAAGTCTTATCTCCAATTAATCAGCAAAAGGCCAGAAGTAGAAGTATAGTTTAAATGGTAGATTGTCAGCCTTGAGTGAAAAAGCTCAGCAAGATCTAAAGTTCAAGCCCTTATAGCAGCACACAAAAAAAAATCCAACAACAAAATAAACAGAACTTGGGAATTAGCTTTGGACATAGTGGCGTGCACCCATAGTCCCTCCCGCATTTGAGAGTCTGAGGCAGGAGAGTCATGAGTTTAAGGCCAGCTTGGGTTACATGGTGAGACCTGTTAAAAAAAAAAAAAAAGAGAGAGATGGAAGGGAATTAAAGTTTGGTACTGCATATACATTATGAATGCTTAGTTAGTAAGAATGGTGTTAAGTACAAATTAAGTAAGGAAATTGTATGCCTAGACTAGTTTGTTTAAGCACTTTATCCTTTTTCCGGCAAACTGACTCTGTTTTAGAGCACCATAAACTGAAGAGTACAAAGGGGTAGATAGGAGTGGAAGCAGAGAGGCCTGTGTGCGAGGGGCACTGTAGGTGACTCTGATGGATGCCCAGATAGGGTGGCGGCAGAAGTGGTGGTGAGAATATTAAAAGACTGTTTTTAAGACTTAAGAGTTGGGGCTGGGAAGGTGGCTCAGTGGTAGAGCGATTGCCTTGCATGCTCGAGGCCCTGGGTTCGATTCCTCAGCCCCACATAAGCAAAAAGAAAAAAGCTGGAAAGTGGCGCTGTGGCTCAAGTGGTAGGTAGAGTGCTAGCCTTGAGCTGAAGAGCTGAGGGACAGCGCCCAGGCCCAGAGTTCAGGCCCCACGACCGGACCAAAAAAAAACAAAGAAGACTTAAGAGTTGATAAAATAATTAATTTTTACTACTTTATCAAAGATAATTCTTAAGGGAAAGTGACTTTTTTTTTTACAGTGAACATGTGGTCAAGCAGACTATAGTAGTAATAGTATAGTGCCACTTCCTTGGTTAATCACAAGAAATCAATGACTTCACCTTTCTATGAATTGCTTTATATGATCCATGCAAGTATCGGCATGGTGAACTTAAACTCCATTTGACCATGTACTGTTTCCAGTAACCAGGCTTCCTCCTCTCCCCCTTTGAATGTAGATCCTAATTATCTCATGGCTAATGAACGCATGAACCTGATGAACATGGCCAAGCTGAGTATCAAAGGCTTGATTGAATCAGCTCTGAACCTGGGAAGGACTCTGGACTCTGACTATGCACCCCTCCAGCAATTTTTCGTGGTGATGGAGCACTGTCTAAAACATGGTTTAAAAGGTAGGATATGGCTTCAAAAACTACAAATGTGCATGCAGCAGGATCCTAGCAACCGATAGTCAAAAGAGAAAGCACTCCTTGTACAGCCAAAGAATAAGAATCTTGAGTTAGTAATGTTAATCCATAGGAATGCAACCTATATGTTAAAGGTTGCATGTGGTTGGCTTAAAGGACTTTCAAGGCTTTAATAAATACAGATCCTTACATGTATTGGGGAGGGCTATTACAGTTAAATCTAGTGTGACAGTTCCACCTAATTGACAGGATAGTTATGCCTAGAATGGGACATGACTTGCCCGGGGTCACATAAGTGAATCTGGAAAGAGCAGGCACAATGTTTCATGACTTGCTTCAGAGTTCTTTTCACTTAACCATTAGCTTTTGAGGCAAGACCTGGTCTTTCAAAGCTTTGCTTGTTCCTTCCTCTCTTCCAATAGTCAGGTTGGAAAACAGTCTGGTTTTTTTTTTTTTTTCACCAATACATCATGGGTTTTTTTCTGTTGTTTTTGTTTTGTTTGTGTATGTGTATGCTGGTGCTGGGGCTTGAACTCAGGACCTAGGCACTATCCCTGAGCTGGTTTTGCTCAAGGCTAGAGCTCTCCCACTTGAACCACAATGTCAGATTTTTCTGAGTAGTTTATTAGAGATAAGAGTCTCGGATGTTTCTGCCTAGGCTGGCTTTGAACCATGATCCTCAGAACTCAGCCTCCTGAGTAGCCAAAATTACAGCCATGAGCCACCAGTACCCAGTCCTCATGGTTTTAAGTACTAAATTGTTAAAATGTTTTATTATATTACAGAGCTAATTTTTCCTAAAAGAGGGAAGGATTGAGTCTTGGAAGGAAATTTATATTTTCGTATCTGTTCTGAAAGCATGAATAATTTTAAAACTATCTAAGGACCTAGGATTAGATCCTGAAAAGAATATTGACTAGATGGCAGGTGTGTGTGAGAGAGAGAGAGAGAGAGAGAGAGAGGGTGTTAAGGGAGCATTTATAGTATAAAGAATATTGAAATACTACTTTGTTTCTGTTTTTCTTGCCTTTAGCAAAGAAAACTTTCCTTGGACAAAATAAATCCTTCTGGGGACCTCTCGAACTTGTGGAAAAACTTGTTCCAGAAGCTGGAGAAATAACTGCAAGTGTTAAAGATCTTCCAGGACTTAAGTAGGTCTCAAGTTGAATTCTTCCTCTCAAGAAAAATATTCTTATTAATTTTTTGAAATAATAAGATACTAAAGATAATGCCATAATAATTTTATAACAATCCAAATCTACAATGTTGTTTTGAGTAATGTTATAAGAGAATTGTTATAATTTTCAAAATGTATGCCCTTCATGGATAATTATTAATCTAAGTGAGGTTGTCTTAATGTTAAAATACCAAACATTTCCTTTTTATTTAAAATACTTGTGAGAATCATTTAGTAGTAAGTCTCAAGAAATTTGATCTAAAGCGGTATCATGGCTAACTTGACTTTAGGAGAAAAATGGGGGTTGAGAGCCACAATTAAAACAGCTGCCAAGTCCTGTAATCCTAGCTACTCAGGAGGCTGAAATCTGAGGATCACAGTTAGAAGCCAGCCCAGACAGGAAAATCCATGAGATTCTTCCATCCCAGGCAGGAAAATCCATGAGATTCTTTTTTTTGGTCAGTCGTGGGGCTTGAACTCTGGGCCTGGGCGCTGTCCCTCAGCTCTTCAGCTCAAGGCAAGCGCTCTACCACTTGAGCTACAGC